AAATTAACCCAACAAAGATGACAGTTAATTTGCATATGCAGATGCGGAGTGAAGACTGAAGACTGAAGACTGAAGAAGCCAAGCCTCACTGTGGCCAGAACAAAGGCCTGGGTCCCATGTTCCAGAGGAAAACCGGTGCCGGTAGCCAGGGGAAGGAAGGCCTATTGTGCAAATCTTCATGCAACGGGCTTCTAGTATATATGTATGTATGTGTGTGGTGTGTGGTGTGTGTGTTATATTTTATATATATATAAAATAGAGTAGGCATAAGCTTATAAATAAGATAAAATACATTATTTGGGAGCAGTTATCCCTCTTCAATTCAAATAGAGAAATAGAAAGAAAGATGGGCAGATGAATGAGTGGACAGATTAACTGACAAATAGGCAGGCTGAACAATTTGTGATTCATATTTACAAATTTCACAATCAATGTATACATCTGTAATTATAATTCTAAAGTGCTGCCCTCAGTACATAATATTTGTTCATTCATTCACCCATTCATTTAGTAAACAATTGTTAAACTGCATGTGTGCTAGACACTGGTGTAAGTGCTTATGAGACACAGATGAAGAAGACAGATACTATCCTTAAGAATCTCAGTCCAGTGAGGACAACAAATGCAAAAACTTACTCATAAGACCATATAACATGCTCCCCAAGAGAGGTTCCTACGAGTGACTACAGTGGACGTGAGTTCTTAAGTTGCCCAGGAGAGTATCAAGGAAGCCTTCACGTAGAAAAGACGACATTGGAGATGAATTTTAAGGAATTCAAAACCAAGTCTGAAACCTCCAAATAAGGGCTTAAAAGTCCCTGAAGTTTGTCTTCTGTCACTTTGCTGGATGTTTCGCTGGCCCAAGTGTCTCTACAAATGGCTTTTATACGTCTGACTAAACCCAAAATGAGTCTGGTCTCACCTTTTGAAATCTTTCCTCTTCTACGACTGTCGACCTCTTTTTCTGCCTGTGATATTCTTTTCTTCTCTCTAACGCACTCATAATTTTTTCATCAGTTAGGTTCTTCCTAAACTCACAAAACTGAGGCCAAAATTTAAACAGAACTCCAAAAATTGTCATCTGTATAAAAAAACAAAGTATGTCTCAGGTTACAATGTTATACAAATGTACCGTTTTAAACTCTAACTCACCATAATAATGGATTAACTATTGCATCTTTAATATACAGCATGTTTCCTCCAACTTATTGTCGCCAGACATCTTGGTATAGTTTAGCTCGGCACATGCTTATCATCAATTTTTTTTTACTACCAATGAGAAGTCTTTCTTTAAAAAAAAAAAATTCTTAAAATACACTTAAAGGTCACTTTATTCTTTATGTTTCCCTAACCAATTGATTGTATGAATAAAGAATCCATTAGGTCTTTTTTTTTTAATAAGGAATTTATGTTTTCTTTTAAAGCATATACTAGCGGATCTGCCACACACTCTGCTGTTTTATGCAAGTATTCCAAATATTCAGTCCATCAAGGGAACTCCTCTCCCCTCTCCCCTTTTCTTTCTTTTGAGAGAAAGGAAATACCATTTACCTCTGGAAAAGCTCTTAAACAAAGCTGCAGATCTAAGAATAAATCTTGAGTAACTTTTAAATGATACAATCTCTCTTTTATGTGAGAGCAAGAAAAGTAACATTTAAAAAGCAGAGTGGTATCCTGGACAAGTGCTTTCTATGAGGACACTCCACAGCAAGTGATTAATTGTGATATTTATAGAGATAAGAATTGTTGCTCAAACTCCCCTGCCAAGTTTTTCCATTAGTTCCAGAGGCAGACATTACTTCCAAGAAGGTAGGACTTGCCACATCAGATCAAGCCCAACATGTTGTTGCTAGGAATGGCCTTTCCCTAATGCCCTGGAGGAAAATGAACCATCCCATTAGGCTCGGAGCCAGCTCTTGCGAGGAAAAGAAGACTTTTTAGAGAGTAAAAGCCGCGGTGATCAGCAGAGTCCTGAATTAGTCATGTTTCATGACTCCTCTTTTCTGCACGTGGATATTATTAGTAATTCTAAAATTTGTCACTGAATCCTGTAGCCTCTTGGGATTGTGAACACAAAAGCTAGAGATACTCTATTCAATAAAATGCAGGCCTTTAATTTTTTTTTCACTTACCTGCCGTGTAGTTAATTTAATAATCCCCTGCTCCGCTGTTCAGGGGCCATGATAGCTTTCCTGTGAACTTCTTACATTTAAATACCCCTTCTCTATCTACCAACTATTGACCCTACTTTTTAGTGATCTCTCCAGAACCTGAGTCGTTCTTTAATACATGTATTTCCATCTAGAAGGCCTTCCGGTAAAAGTCACCTAGTTAACACAGAACCTTTCAAAGGCAGACATAAAATTGCTTTTTTTTTTTTCTTTTTTCAGAGGGAGTGGAAGGGAGAGGGATAAAGAGATGGAAACATGGATGAGAGAGAAACATTGATCGCTGCCTTTTGCAGGCCCCCTGCTGGGGATTGAGCCTGCGAGCTGGACATGTGCCCTGACCGGGAATCGAACTAGTGACCTCTTGGTTCATGGGGTGACACGCAACCATTGAGCTACACTGGCCGGGCCAAATTGCTCCATTTCTGAAAGTCGTAATTAAAGATGTTAGGTTAATAACTTACACATTATTCATGAAACTTATGCAGCCTTAAAAGATAACCAAACTGTGGCTAAGACATTGTTTTAATAAATATGGAGCTGCCCTAACCGGTCTGGCTCAGTGGGTGGAGTGTCAGCCTGCGGACTGAAGGGTCCCGGGTTCGATTCTGGTTAAGGGCATGTACCTTAGTCGCGGCCACAACCCCAGTGAGGGGTGTACAGGAGGCAGCTGATCGATGTTTCTCTCTCATCGATATTTCTAACTCTCTATCCCTCTCCCTTCCTCTCTGTAAAAATAATCAATAAAATATATTTAAAAACAAAAACAAAAAACATAAAAATAAATATGGAGCTATTTTGCTCACTGCCAGCAGACAGACAACGGCTTTAGTGTGAGTAAAAAGGTCCAGTGATAAGGACTTTGGCTGAGGGATGAGGGATGCGGGTGAGGATACACTGATAACAATCCTAAAACAGGTAAATTTACTAGTTAGCCCTTCTCTCAAGTGTGCTCGCGTTTCCAACTTGGTCTTACTCCTTTCTGCTGCGATAGCTCTCTTCTCACATCGTTCATTCCCATGTTCCAAGATGCTACTGGTGTTGCCTCTGTGCCAGGTGTTCAGGACGCAAAGGAAACTGGGAAACAGGCCCTGCCCTCAACGACCTCCCAGTCTGATGGGAAAGTCAGGCATGAGAACGGTCCTTTTCAATTCTGTGGAACAAGTGTTCTGACAGGGACAAGTACAGGATAGCATCACAGCACACGGCGGAGAAGAGGATGCTGCCCAGCGCTCAGGAGGGAAGAGAATTAGGCCGCCTACAGAACCATGAGGTGAGATTGGGAGATAAGCCGTAAGAGATGTGGTTGGAGACATGTAGGAAGGCGCACGGTCTCCCTTCTGGGGACAATGGGGAGCAACTGTAACTGAGAGCAGAGAAGTGACATGACCAGATGGACTTTTTGAAAAAGACGGCTCTATCTGCAGGGAGTTAAATGGTTTCGAGAGAGCCCGGGGGCGGGGACCTGTGGTCATCACTGTGAGACTTGGCAGGTGGGGCTGAGGCAGTCACATGAAGTTGGAGAGAAGTAGGTAGAATGACAGAGAACAAGGAGACAGAGGGATACCTTTCAGGGAATGAAGATCTGGCGGCCAGGGCATGGAGGCCAGGGGGGCGTGGAGACGGTGCCCAGGCCTCTGACCATTCTCTGAGCTTTCTTAGGAAACACAGGAGGAGTAACAGATTTGGTGGGGTGAGGCCCCTAAATAACTATTCTCTTACGGGCCAGGGACTCCTTTTCGGAAATCAGGTAGAAGGCATACACGAGAGGACTCCCCTGGACGCTGTGCGGACCGACCGCCTGGCTCAAGGCCTCTGATGCGGACGGGCGGACCGGCTTGGGGCCCGGTTATCGGCAGGCCCGGGCCCAGGCCCGGCTGCGTGATCTCTCAGATCCCTTCGTTCACAGACGCCACGATTCTGGCACCACGTTTTCTCTGTTCCTCTCTAGCACATCCTCAATCATTCCTCGATATTTTCGCCGATTTTAATGCACAATTTGGATTGTGAGTCCACTTTCAGTCCCTTGGAGGACTTAGAGCACAGCTGGCTCACAAATGCACGTTAAGGAGTAATGGCCTCTTTCCATGCTCCAGGGCAATCACACCCCCAATCTCTGCTTCATATCACTTAAGTCATGACAGGGCCTTCCCTATTACCTCTATTATAATTTATTTTTCTTAATCATTTTTCAGGAACAACATCGGTAAAAGGCTTTTCAAAATGCAAATAAATTATGTTCATCAAATCGCTGTTTTCTATTATTTATCTTAAGAAGAAGTAATGTGAGCAGGTTAACAGGCATGGCTTTCCTTTCATGAGCTTGTGTACTTTATGTTGGTCGGGTACTTAAATCTCCTCTCACTTATTTTATGAGCGACGTGAATATTCCAATCTTTAAAAATACACAAATCTTGGGACACACATATGCCACACATTTTTGTGGTAGCGGATATTTTGAAAGGAAATAGGAATGGTGGGAAAGGAAGGAGGACTTCGCTTGTTTTCTAAATTAGAAACAAAAAATGGTAACCATGCAATGTCTAAGTGTAGTATTTAATAATTTTATTTGTTGTGCAGTATCAACAGCAAGATAGTCAACTGCTAGTTTCTTACGTTCTGTGGCATATGAAAAGATGCTTTTTCATTACCTAGGATAAATCCCAGTGTTAGGATGATTGAAGCCCTGCCAAATATGAATAATGCAAAAAGCTTTACGAGAACACCTAGGTTGTCAATCTATTTAAAAGTATGCTTAGCCACATGCCCCGATCGCTTACCTGTGCCTCTCTGAATACATATGGTCCTAACTCCTTCCTGTGTTCAATAATCTTCTGGGCTTGCTCCACGGGGATGTCTATTTGTAAAGCTGGTGGGATGCTGGAGTTAATAAAGCAGTTGATAATAGTCATGACTTTCCTGTGGATGATAGACTCATCACAATGAGAATGGCACAAGTCCTGGACAAGGGGGAAAGATAGGACAATATATGATTAATGGATTATTAGAACACTTTATAGAATTGTGCCAATATGTCTTTCAGCTAATATATACTTTTTTTAAAATTGATTTTGAGAGAGAGAAAGAGGAAGAGAGGGAGAGAGGGAGAGAGGGAGATAGAGAGAGAGAGAGAGAGAGAGAGAGAAGCACTGATTTGTTGTTTCACTTATTTATGCATTCATTAGTTGCTTCTTGTACGTGCCCTGACTGAAGACCAAACCCGCAACCTTGATGTATTCGGACAAGGCCTAATATATACATTTTAACTTCAGGTCAAGAGGGTACTGGGACATGCCAAGGCTATCTTAAAATATCATAGCTTTTATTTCTCTTCGGTTTGAGGAACCTAAGTCTTTGATGGATATACCTCACGTAAATACAGGTTTCATTTTAATCCTGATTGCTGCTTCTCCTTTCTCCTCTGCAAAGGAAGAGATCTAGTGTCGACTTTGACTTATTTGGCAAGTTTATGTTGAGTGCCTGCTATATGCCAGTCACTGAGCTGAGCCCCACTTACAGTACCTGGCCTTTCAAAGGCCGATTTCTACTGGAGGAGAAGCATGGCAATGTTACTCCAATTCGAGGTAGTTGGTAAGCGCTACGATAAAAGCATACACAGCGTTCCAGGAAAGCACTGAGAACAGGCACCCAACTCAACTGACAGGTGGTTACAAAAGCTTTCTCAACCATAACTGCTTCTACAGCACGGGGATTTGGGCTCAAAAAGGCCAGCTACATAAGCTACGTGCTGGTGGTGACAGGTGAGTCAGTAGGCACCTATAATTTTTCAATTAACCTATTACCTTATCCTCTTTGTTGCTGAAGAACTTAAAAATAGTGATCACGCATTTAAAAGACCTAGTTTTATGTCACAGATGTAGGGCTATCATTTTTTTTAAAAATAAAGAGGTAGCTTAGCTTGAATTATGGCATTTGTCTGTCAAAGACATTGTTTTCTAAATCACTAGAAAGTACACATATTTGGAAATAATTCTAGGGCAGAAATGAGCCAACATTTATTAAGTACTCACTGAATGATGGGCATTGTAATAACTTATGTCTGATGGATACTATTCAAGAAAATTCTAGTGCTTGCCATATAAAACTTCACATACAGTTTGGCATAAGTTACATGTGAAAAAAGCTTGTTATGTTACATTGAGACAACGGTTAGCATTTTTTTACTCAATTTAGTATCCCTTCCAAAAATGCCTAGGTATACCACGGTTGGCATATTACCCAAAATGTATTTTTTGCCATTACTAGTGAGATTATCATCATAATTATTTGGTGAGCCTGATTTGTAACTATAAAATATGAGGCTTATGGAATAAAAAAAATTGTGAAGTTTAATTTTGAGATGAAGGGAGAGTATTTAGACAATGAAAACTGATTTTTTTCCTGATTGCTCTTTCTACTATACCATTGGCCTAGTGAACGTTTCCTGCCATAACAGTCTCTGGGTAGGCACACAGGGGAGATGTCCGCCGGAGGCACTTGCTAACCTGTGCTTCTCCCACCACTGCACTAAGCACACCGCTGTGACTGCCGTGTCTGTCACTGTCTGAGAGGGAAGGCTGTGTTGGTCACAGCTGACTCCTCAGGACGTAGCATGGCCCTTGGTAGGTGCTCAATAAGTATCTATTGAATGAACATATGCGACCAGTCTTTTCTCTATGGAGACACACTTTAGATGAAATCATACTGTTTTCTAGTAGCTGGGTGTGTTTTTTTTAAATGAATAAAATAAGTATCTTTCCCATCATTGATTATTCTCCTACAGCATATTTTTAATGGCTGCAGAGTATTCTATTGTATCATAACTAAGTAACCACTGTCCTGTTGTTGAATATTTGGGTTCTTTCCAATTTTTCACAATTGAGAACAATCTGATTAAGGTCACTGTAGCCATCTCTTTGCATATTGCTACAGTCATCACTGGGAGGGAGTATAACTTAGTGGATAAGAGCATGAGTTTTAGCAACAGAATGCCTTGGTTCAAATTCCAGCTCTACCACTTAATTAGCTGTATGATGTCAGGAGTTTCTTAACTTTTCTGTGCCTTAGCTTCTTCATCCATAAAATGATGAGAATAACAGCTCTGGCCTCATAGGATTCTTTTTCTTTCTTTTTTTTTAGTGGAGATTAGCAGTATTCACTTAAAAAAAAATCATGACCTGAGGATTTGTTTATTGATTTTAGAGGGAGAAGAAGGGAGAGAGGGAGGGAGGGAGGGAGGGAGGGAGGGAGAAGAGGGAGAGAGTGAAAAAAAATCCATGTGAGAGAAAAACGTCAATCAGCTGCCTCCCCCACACGCCTCAACTGGTGATCCAACCTGAAACCTAGGTATGTGCCGTGACAGAGAATTGAACCCACAACCTTTTTGGTGTTATGGGATGACACTCCAATGAACTGAGCCACCTGGCCAGGGCTCATAGGATTCTTATGGCGATTAAATTAGTTATGACATGAAAAGTATTAAGACACTATCTGGCAGATAGCAAACAGTAAGAGTAAACCATATAGAAGTGAGCTCAGTAGGACTTTGCTAGGTGGAATGCTTTCTACCTGGCAAATTCCCTCAAGACCCAATCCTAGTATTATTTCATCTACGGACACTTCCCTGACCTACCACCTTCCCTGCCTCATTCCCTCCTCTGTGGGAACACCTAGTTAGAGCATAAGTCATAATCAATACTGTGGATTTTCACAGACGTCTCCCTTCCTGCAGAGGGCAATGTGTTATATTCACCTTTTTTATTCCTACAATCTAGCATCATGGCTAGTACATTACATACTTAAGAAATGCTTACTGAATGAACAAATTCACTCCTATAGCATGATTTTTAATAGCGACTTACTATTATACATCCTCCATTCTATGATACAGAAAAGATACCTAAATGAAGACCAAGGGCAGCCTTGAAGAAGGAATAGTCACAAAATTAAGGGTTGACTATGAATGAGCCTACATTTTTTTAAATACTTATTTTGGAAGGTTTATCTCATCACCTCTTGTCTTAACAAGGTTGGGCTTACGCAGACTCATATTAGCTTGAAGATACTTCTACCCATACATAATTGCCTATTTTGGAAAACAAACTACCTCCTTTCTAATTCTCAAAAAAACACTTTAATATTACTTATCTCATGACAAATTTTGAAAAAACTTATCTCTAAAACATTTTTTTCCTGAGAAAATTTCTAAGCTGTGAATAATACAAAAACTGTTGTTAGTAGAAAAGTATAGAAAACAATTTCGTGGTATGTTGGAGAAAGTTTAGAAATAGATTTTATTGAGCAACTACTAACTATACAGAATATATATGGAGCAGAGTATTCATGCTACATAATACATATTTATAGGCCAATTGAAAGCATTATCCTCTTAAATTCTAGTTTTATTTTTACTCCCTCCTTTTATAGTGGGAATGAACCTGCTACCCCTGGGAGTGTTTAAGCGGCGGCTACATGCCTACTTTTAGGTATTTCTAGACAACATTCCTGTATCCAAGTCTGGACTGTATAACGTACAAAGACCTCTCCCCTTTTTCAATGCAAAGATTCTATATGATTTCATTAAACACTTAAACCTGAAAATAAACTGCTTTTTGAAACTAAGCACTTGTTGTTGTTTTTTTTACTGATTTCAGAGAAGTGAGAGGGGGAGATAGAAACATCATCGATCGGCTGCTTCCTGCACAACCCCTTCTGGGGATCAAGCCTGCAACCTGGGTATGTGCCCTGCCCCCGTAACTTGAACCGTTAACTCCTGGTTCATGGGTCGACGCTCAGCCACTGAGCCACACTGGCTGGGCTCACATTTATTTTGTTAAGAATCTCGCCATTTGCCCTGGCTGGTTTGGCTCAGTGGATGGAGTGTCGGCCTGTGGACTGAAGGGTCCCAGGTTCGATTCTGGTCAAGGGCACATGCCTGGGTTGCGGGCTCGATCCCCAGAGGGGGCGTGCAGGAGGCAGCCGATCAATGATTCTCTCTCATCATTGATGTTTTCCTCTTCCTCTCTCTCTCTCTCTCTCTCTCTCTCTCTCTCTCTCTCCCTCTCCCTCTCCCTCTCCCTCCCTCCTCTGAAATCAATAAAATACATTTTAAAAAAAAGTTAAAAAAAAAGAGAATCTTGCCATTTTCTAACAGGAAAGCTTCTCTCATCTCTGTTGGTTTATTTATCTATAATCCACTATCTTTGATTACTCTTGCTGTAAATATGGTTGGGAATTCTTATAAAGAAGTCTTGGTTGAAGTACTGAATATGGACACCTTAGGGGAAGATGTATATAGTACATTTATAGATAAGTGATATGCAAAAATATAGTTAAGACTTTTCAAAAAGTTTCTCCTTAGATCATATATGGGACTACCTTTAAGAACCTATACAGTCATTTAGGGCTCACTCTCACTCTTCATTGTACAATAATAATGTATCTAAAATAGAAATATAAACACTTCAATATTCTCATATTTGTATGAAGGTGGCAAAATTGGGATATATTCTCCATCATGTTCCAGTTCAGAATCAATGTTAATGCATCCCCTCCTTAGAAAAAGGTGGTCTTCTCCCACTCCCAATAAAATACCTTATATTTTTGTACTTCTTGCCAAAAGAGCACCCCATTTTCCAATAAATCTCCTTTTAGAGCCACGAACCGTTGAAATTGATTTGCAGTAACTGGATTCAATAATGCTTTACGGAAAGCAATGATTTCAGAAGATGAAGATATCCATTTACTCTCCACAGGCTGCCCAAATCAGAGAGAACAGAAAATTAGCTGCGTTCTGAAATGTAAACAAAGTCATTAGACTGAAAATCACCACGTTCTATCTCCTTTACTTTTGACTGTTGAAATTGGTGGCCTGGATACAATAGAATTTGGGAACTTTCTCCCTCTGATCCTCTCACCTTTGTCTCCTTCACATTTTTATGGCATTTTGTTAAGGGGTAGAGAGAAAAAGAAATGATTGGTTGATTTAGAGCATATGACTACACTGTTTAAGAATGTTAATTATTACAGTTTGAGACGATGCTGAAAAACTGCATTTTAGTGCATAGTATGAGTTCTGTGCTTAAATGGGACAAAATAATCATGATGTTATGATTATACATTGTTATATTATTGTTTATGTTATGGTTTCACATATTGTTACATATAATTCTCCTACCTTTTAAAAAGTAAAAGCAGTTGAACATTTAAGATATTTTTTCAAATTTTTCCAAAAATAATTACCAATTAATTCTATTAATTTAAATAGGAAATTCACTGTGGAGCTTCACTATAATTCTACCCTGGAAAGATCATATATTTTGGTGAACTATCTTTATATTATTTTAATAACAAATTGTGATTAAGAATTAATAAGAAGAAATAATTATTAATACATTATTTTTAATAACAGACTTCCTCTGACTGAGGATGCACTTTACATAACAAAAAGCCTGAAGGAGCCGTGGTGTTTTATTAATGCTTAAAGGTATTACTTATTTTATATCTTCACAGTTTTAAGATGTCTACTTCTTTTACTTTGACCATTTAGATCACATATTCATCTCTCGTTAGCCTCTTAGATGACAAAAAAAAACACACATTTTAATGAATTTACTAAATAGATTTTTTTTTTACTGGATACATTTTATTGGAGTTCCCCAAATCCGAGTTTAGCCTACAACCATGCATCATTCCAAAGTCAATGTTTTAGGTGGACCTAGGAATTACAGTAACAAACAAAACACATGATAAATAGCCATTACTGATCATGCATAAAATAAGTTTGATAGACTGTTTCATTCTATGTGACCATCAAAATGAGGCTTGAGAGAGTTATGTAAAAAGTGCTGCGGGAACCCGAAGGAAGGAGCAACTAGTTCTGCCTGGAGAAGTAAAAGCGTTACTGAGAAGGGCCTTCGGGACGACATCTGAATTGGAAACTGAAAACTGAAGGCAACTCCAGGCAGTCGAGATGGATGGTGATGCCTTGAACCCAGATAAGGCGAGGAGATGTCTATCACTGTTTCAGTGAGGCACAGGCCGTGTTCTGTGCACAAGTAGTTAAGACCCTCACCATATGGTCCATATTAAAATTACAGCCCTATAAATAGGAACAACTATGTATTAGAATGGGATGTTTGTTTAAAACCCACTCAGCAAATAACGTTTTAAGACCTGCTTCTTAAGATACTAAACCTTAGTAATTTAACTAAAGCCTGTAATTTTACTGAACAAAAAATAACAATATATAATGCATAATAATATGAAATATGAGCTTATTGTACTTAGCATGTCAATAAAAATATAGCAAAAGACAAACATAAGAACAGGTTTTCTTTCCTTTCAAGAGGAAAATACAGAAAAAGAGGAGCCTAACATATACACACTTCCTATCAGTCAGATAAAGTCTTGTCTTTGTTAGTTTGTTAGTTTTTTTCCCTGGGTCTAGTTTAACATTTTATCAAGACTTGTAGAAGGATAAATACCCAGAAATTTGTAGGATCAAAAAGAATACTGTATTTATCACACTTATTAAGAAGCAAAATAGGCTATTTCTAGTAAGGTATCATATTATGTGATTTAAAAAACCACCAAAATGATAGGTATCTTAATTCTTTTAAAGCTAAAATGTAATTCTAAATCAAGGGGGATAACGTAAGGTAATTTAACCTGCTGATTCTATTGCATACTTCTTAATCCTTTTGTGTAACCTACTCTCAGTAATAAATATCCTACCAGATGCTGGAATGAACAATTTGTCTCAATAAATCCATCACAAGGAAAATAAATAAAAATACATATTGAGCCCTAGCCGGTTTGGCTCAGTGGCTAGAGTGTTGGCCCTTTGGCCGAATAGTCCCTGGTTCAATTCTGGTCAAGGGCATGAACCTCGGTTGCAGGTTCCATCCCCGGCCCAGGTTGGGGTGCGTGTGGGAGGCAACCAATTGATGTGTCTCCCTCACATTGATGTTTCTCTCCCTCTATCTCTCCCCCTCCCTTCCACTCTCTCTAAAAATAATGGAAAAAATATTCTTGGGTGAGGATTAACAAAAAAGACATATTGAAAGTCCAATGGACACTTCTGGGATTGAGCAGGTAAAGGAACTTTCTAAGAAGGCCCTGATACGGTCACACTTTCCACTAGATCCCATCAGCCAATTACAGCAGTGTTGGCAGTCAATTGGTGGCTTAGAAAACAGTCTACAATGAGGATTTATGAACAAGCAGAGGGAGAAAGATACTTTGACAGAGTAGAACGTACAGGAGGAAGAATATAACAAATGGTACTTACCTTCCAGATCCCAATTTTCTCTTCATGCTTCTGCAGTAAGAGCTCATCAGTTGCTTCTTTCAGCTGTAACTAAAAGCAGAACCAATGATCTTATCTCAATGATTCAGAATGTCTAAAGTTTTGAAATCATTTAATAATTTATTAGCTTTTTAAAAATGAGGTAGCCCTAGCTCAGCGGATAGAGCGTAGGCCTGAAGGGTCCTGAGTTTGATTCGGGTCAAGGGCACATGCCCAGGTTGTGGGCTTGATCCCCAGTAGAGGGTGTACAGCCAGTCAATGATTCTCTCTCATCATTGATGTTTCTATCTCTTTCTCCCTCTCTCTTCCTCTCTGAAATTATATATAAATGAGGTAAGGTAAGCGTGGATAAGAGATGGGGCAGTTCAGAAGAAAAAGGATCAGACGTAGAAATGAAAGTTCTGCCCCTGTCCTTGGGCAAGTTACTCAAGTTCTCTGTTCTGAACAGTTTCCTCATCTGCAAAATGGAGACAATAACAGCCAACTGCATTGCCCTAAATGTAGATGGTACTTCCACTTTGGGTCACATGGAAACTGAGGAGATAATTAGGACTTGCCAGATTTGTGTGCTATTATCTAGCCACACTAATTTTAGATGAGTACAAAAGGTACTCAATACAGGCAGAAAATGCAGAAGATACCTCCTGAGGTTACTGCCGATTGGCACTATCTTCCCTTTCTTGGGACTCACTCCTGCCAAGTCTGTCCTGTGTGACTTTACCTCTTTCCCACAGACAGACCCAGAAGCTGAGCTAGAGACACAGGACGGAGTCACTGCGGAGTCTTTCCGACAGCCTCGGCCTGGCCCCCGACCCTCCTAAAGCTTGGGTGTCAACTCTCCCCCTAAGTGTGTGAGATGCTCCAGCAGCACTTTATAACAAACTAGAGGCCTGATGCATGAAATTCGTGCAAGAGTAGGCCTTCCTTCCCCCAGCTGCCAGCACTGGCTTCCCTCGCAGCCCCAGCTTCGTCCAGGAGGTCGTCCGGAAGGATGTCCAGTTTAATTAGCATATTACGCTTTTATTATCATAGATGCTCTCCCTTCTCTTCTGTCTTTGGCTTAAGGTTGCCCAAATCAGCTGATGTCGTTGGCCACCCAATGCTAAGTCAGGAAATAACTGTAAGTTACAGTAAGATTATTGTGGGGAAATGTGGTAAGTTATATTACTAGGTTAAATATCTAAACTTGGCTTTGGATAGAGAACTGGAGTCAGCCTGAAGAAAGGAATGAGGAAATTTGAGTTATTCCAAAGCTTATTTCCAGGAACTAAAGCAAGTCAGCTTCTCTCCATGTTATAAATCCTATGTGCCCAGGTGTGCTGTGTTTTCCACAACTTAAGGTTCTCAGAAGACTAAGGTAAGTAAGCCTCTAAGTGTTTGGTAAACTTTTTTTTTTTGGATTTTTCCCCATCATTACTAATAGCTTGTGCTTTGCATACTAAAGTCACATGCTCTCTGTCCTTGTGTTGTTTTTGTAAAGATCAGGTTTTCCTATTTTTAGGTGTGATAATGACATTTTAAATTATCAAAGTAATACATGCTTCTTATAAAATAAAATAAAATAAAATAAATAAAGCAAAGAAACAAAAAAAAATCTCATACCACTTTCAAAGTAAAGTAAAAATCTTTCTCGTTCCCTAAAGCCATTCCTCTTAGATATTTTTTTCATAAACATAAAAATAGATAGATGGATGGATAAATGTCTAGAGATAGAAACATATAAATAGATATATAGATGTAAGTATATATAATTGAATTATCTTCTATATACTGTTCTGCATCCTGGTTTTTCCACTCAGATAAAATCTTTCATATCAGTACCTGTGGAAATCTCAATTTATATTTTAATATCATTTTATATGAAAATCTGCATGGTTTTTTCATAGTATGAAATTCTCATAATTCATTTAAGTATTCCCCCTTGTATATCCTTGCCCATTTATGTGAGAAATTAATAATAATAATAATAATAATAATATAAAAAACAACTATATTAGTAGATGATATTTCAGTGTTTGCTTTGTGCCAGGCACCATGCTAAGAAACTAAACATATATCATTCATTTCATTTCATCTTTACAACAATCTTAAGCAATTACTCTTATTAACCCCCCCTTTATTTTTAAATGAGAAGACTAAGGTTATAAGACAGAAAGCTGTACAATTAATATATGGCAGTATTGAGAGTAAAACTTCGGAAGTCTGACGCCAAGAAGTACAATGGCTGGGTCAACACCTACATGCATTTGAGTTTCGAGAGATACTGTCCATCGCTATCCAAAGATTATAGTACTAACTTACGTACCTTTATCTTCTGACGTGCTGCAAACTGTTCACTTGCAAGAAACAGTGGCAACCACACATTTTCTATCCTTTTTAGGACATGCTTCTGAACTTCAACGAAAACAGGCGGGTCAAGCTGCTCATGGAGAGTTTTGCCCCAGCCACCACACAAACTCATGATCTAAGAAAATACAACAAAACAGAAACTGCAAACGTCTGTGTGGGGAAAGAAGCACTACTAGTCATTAATTTGTTAATTCACCTGAAACTGTTCGCTGAGCACTGACAGGTGGCACAATTCTCATTTTCTGTAAAGTGTCTCCTGGCTCTTTGGTGTATAGAAAGACAGATAACTCCTCTACCACCAAACAGAGAATTGTGAGGTTTCTGGGATGGTTGTTTTGGGTGTGTGATTTTGCTTATGATATATCTCAAAGAACACAGGAATGGGGTTTTTGTCCTGTATGAGCACAAGCAATGCCATTTTTTCCTCCCTGGCCTCAGTGTCGTCAACTGTAAGATGAGGGCGTTAGCGTATTCGTTTCCTAAATCCTCTTCTAGGTCTAATATTCTGTGAGTCGGTGATTCTAGTCAAATGGACATGTTTGAGAAATCGTTTTCTTTTGTGTCTGAGGAAAGTGAGTCTTAGTAAAGAGACAGCCTTGACTCACATATTATACATGTGTATAATACCCAAACTTTTGAGTTGGGGATGGTGGGTTGCTGGTGGTGGTAGCAATGTAGGGCTACTCCAACAATTTCTAAGAAGAACAGAGAGGCAGAGGAAGAAGAGAAAGGTTACACAGACAGTAGTCTGACTCGCACAGGCAGTACCTTTTGTAAAACAAATTCTTTGTGCCCCCAATCTCTCTTCTGCATATGTATTGGCTTCAACAGCTATTAATGGCTATTTCCCACTATAAATCATTCTGTTTTCTATCCGTTCCTGTGTACAAACCACTCAAAATTTTTGGACTGCTCATTGGAAAAATGGCCTTCTTTACAGTTCTCCTTTGATTAATAAGATTAATTGAATCCTACTAATAAATTGTTTTCCATAAAAACAAGAGAGAGCCCTGGCCAGAGTGGCTCAATTGGTCCCATATACCACAAAGTTATGGGTTTGATTCCCGGTCAGGGCACATACCTAGGTTGTGGGTTGGAGCCCTGCTGTGGGGGGAAGGGGAAGGGACACATAGAGAAAGCAACACATCAATTTTAAAAAATATATATTTTATTGATTTTACAAAGAGGAAGGGAGAGGGATAGAGACTTAGAAACATCGATGAGAGAGAAACATTGATCAGCTGCCCCATATACATCCCCCCCTGGGGATTGAGCCTGTAACCAAGGTACATGTCCTTAACCAGAATTGAACCTGGGACCCTTTAGTCTGCGGCTACCACTCTATCCACTGAACCAAATGGGTTAGGGTGATTGATGTTTCTTTCTCTCTTTCTCTCTCTCTCTCTTCTCTCTTCTCTCTCTCTCTCTCTCTCTCTCTCTCAAAAAAAATCAACAAAATCTTAAAACACACACAAAACAACCCTGGCTGGTATGGCTCAGTGGGTTGGGCATAGTCCTATGCACTGAAAGGTTGTCCGTTAGATTCCCAGTCAGGACACATGCCCGGGGTTGTGGGCTCTATCCCTGGTAGCAGGGCATGCAGGAGGCAGCCAATCAATGATTCTCCCTCATCATTGATGTTTCTCTCTCCCTCTCCTTTCCTCTTTCTCTAAAAAAAAAAAATCAATAAAATACTTTAAAAAATTAAAATATATAAAAAGAGAAACCCTCTTAGCCATTCTTTATTATTAATCTAATAACATTAACAATTACACTATTGTTTTCCTGTATTAAAGAGAAAGGATTACTTTGCTAATCAAAGAGCAAATTGGCCACACAACTGCAATTAGCCCATGGACCCATGATCTATAGAAAGCATAATGCAATACGAATATCCTTAAGTGTAAAATAAGTAAATAAAAATAAAAGTAATTTTAAGTTCTCAGCATGTTATACTATGGAGGGTTCACACAGTAGCATCCGATACCACCGAACCTCACCAATGTAGCACAAACCAAAGAGAAAACAAATTCTTCCACGTGCTTACTTCATGCTCGTGCTTAGTGAAATACCAACCTCTTTGGCTAACACATCAGGGAACTAACAAACAGCAAGGCATTTTTGTCAAGGTTGCTTAATTTTACCACTTTTTCTTCCTCTTATTCCCAAGGACTTTTGCTTATTTCCCCCTGCAAAGACTGAGCTTTTTTAATTTGGTAGGCTCTACTTGTGAACATCTCTGAATTTTTCTTTCATGTACTAATTTAGCATTCATCTGAGATTTGTATTTTATAAATGTATGGCATCAGAATATGCATCTGTTCACATTACCAATATAAGGAAGTCAAGTGCTGTCGTTTGATCTCTAGGTGGTCATGTAGACTAGCAAACTTCAAACTAGAGAAATTTTTAAAGCACAAAAATTGAGCCATATGTTATGTGATCAAACCCACGGCTGAATCCCAATAAGAATTGTTTGCTGTAAATAATAATAATGCTATGGTTATTAATAAGTTGTGATTCAGACCATGTGACTTTGGTCCAATAAAATGACCAAACCTATGTTCCTGGTCAATAAAAACAGTTTCTGGGGACAATACAATGGCAAACAGGATTGTTTTAAGATCAGTTACGTCTGGAGTAATAGCCGTTAATAGAAGCAAAGAAAAGAAGTAACGATGAAGCTTAATGGCTGAAAATGGCAGTTTTCCTGCTTGTTGACTGGACTTGACCCTCTAGTTCACCACTTCTCCTGAGCACCTGGGAGTGTCCAGCATGTCAGGCACTCGTATTTTCTGAATGAGCAGATGAATGAATGAATGAATGAATGAAAGGTTATTGTTTTTAATTCTATAAATTACTTGTTAAGATAACGCATTTAATAATATGTAATACTTGAGTTTTAAAGGCATTTATTTTATAGATACTTGTGAATACCTAAAAAACGAGATACCCAACGTGTCTAGCATTTAAGTCATAAAAGCAAATGAAAAAGATGACTTTCAGGTTGCTGGCAAAGAGAAAGAAATGACTGGTTCTTATACGTCAATATAGGAAATATCTTTTCACGTTGATACCTGATCCTGCTGATACGGAGAAGCTGGACTGGTAGGTCCAAGGAAATACGTTTTATTCAGGTATTTGTTTTTAATATAAATAGATTTTGCCTCCCTTAGCTTTCGATCTTTGTAAGGTATACTTCGGAACTGCTCAATGTCTGCCCAGCACATCAGGTCGATGCTAAAATAAAAACAAAGTACAGCCTTTCTTATTTATTTCTCTCAATTCTACTAAACCCCAAACCAAGCTGTTGTTTTTAGAGAACTTAAAAAGTGGTTGTCTTGACCAATTAGCACAAGTGATCAGATCGTGAAACTAGTAAGTACAATACTGCCTCTCATCCTGGCTAAAAATATGAATGAATACCAGGGGTCCTGGGGGCAGAAAAATAACTCTCACCATTGTTGGTGGGGTCTCGGAGTTCTTCCGTGAACGCTGGACTAGTACTCTCAGTTTCAGATATGGGAACATCCCATCTACTGCACGTCTGTTTGGCAACAAGCTACATTTAAAATAATCCTCAGCACCAACAGAAACTATGTATCTGAAATGTGGCTCCCAAGTCCAATCAATCTCTACTAACTTGTGAGAAAATTATTAGAAAAAATATGAACATTTTATATTAGATAAATATTTTATAAGGTACCAAGATTCTGTGCAAAACTACATTTTATTTACGTGTCAGCTAACAAAAGTTATAAAATATTACATTAATTTCAATAGCTCAGTGAAATATAAAAGAGACACTTCTCAGAAAGAGTAATTGAAGCCAGCCAGTGTTGAGCATCAACCTATGAAGGTCACAGTTTGATTCCCAGTCAGGGCACATGCCCTGGTTGCGGGCTTGATCCCTGGTAGGGAGAGTGCAGGAGGCAGCCAATCAATGAATCTCTCTCAAATAGTAATTGAAGCACCTGTCTAGACAAATGCAAAAGAAACAGCAGAAAAGGGACTGGATAAAACACACTGGTATTGCCCTGGCCAATGTGGGCCAGTGGATAGAGCACTGGCCTGAGCACCAAAGGGTGGTGGGTTCAATTTCTGGTCAAGGACACATACTGAATTGCAGGTTTGATCCCCGCCCCGTTAGGGCGTGTGCGGGAGGCAACCAATCGATGTGTCTCTTTCACATTGATGTTTCTCTCTCTCTCCCCCTCTTCCTCTCTCCTCACTCCCTTCTACTCTTTCTAAAAAAACAATGGGAAAAATATCCTCAGGTAAGGATAACAAAAACATATATAAATAAATAAACCATGCTGGTGTTTTAATTTAGCCAATGCTAAAAGTATCAACAAATATTATTTAACCACTTACATAAGATTTTAGAGGCTGCTCTTTTTAAACTGCATGCCCCAACAAAAAGTTACCCATACAGCTTAAAAAAATTAAGTAGCTTAGAAAAGAATATTTTAAGAGAGTAATATAATTTACAATGGTTATGTTCCTTACCTTGCAGAATAAGCCTCAAGAAACTGACGGAAATGTTCAAACTCCAGTTTGTTGTTAAGGAGATTATTAAAATTAAAATTCTTATATTCTGCAGGGACAATATTCCAGTATTCTGTTGATTTAGTGGCAGCAGGATGTGGGGGAATACCAGTTCCAATTTCACTAGTAGCATCCTAGTAAAATAATACTTTTCATAAAAATCTTTTAAGCACAACAAATTATTTTTCAAATTTAAATAAACTGAAATAAAAATTAACTGTTAGGCCAATGACACTTAACAGGCCAAAGAATCTAGAATCTAAAATTTGGTTCTAACTTACATCAAATTCTCTTCTGTTCCTTTATATTCCATTCCTTTCTTTTCATGAACATTTTGGTAAATAGTTATTCTATACTTGCTTATAAAATATTAATGTTCCTTTATATTCCATTCCCTTCTTTTCATGAACATTTAGTAAACAGTTATTATATACTTGCTTATAAAATATTAATTTTATTATTTTTGTTAGTACAGAAGTAATGTCTTTTATAATAAAAAGAAAACAAAAAGCATACATAATACTACCATTCAGAGATAACCACCATTAGCTTTTTTATATATACCCTTCTAGATTTCTTTTTGTCTACATACATGTAGTTTATTAAAAATGAGGGCAGGACTATACAACTATGTATAGTTTTATAACTTGGTTCCTTTTCTTAACAATATATCATGACCATAAAACATTCTTTTATCTATAACTTAATTTCAAAAGCTACACAGTAATGTAAGATGCTTTTCTAATAAAGATTACATCCTTTAAATATAATCTCCTTCATATAAAAGTTAATTAGGGGGTATTTTTAAAACCTCTGATGTTTTGCAGACAGTTTACAAGCCATATTCTTTCTGTAATTCATTGTATGATTAATTCATCTCCCTATATGTTTTTGAAAAGCACCAGACCATGATATAAACTGCCAATATTTTCAAAATCCATTTTCATAGGAAGAAGGATAATCATGGGGAGCATTATAAATTTTAGTTCATAAAGTTTAAAATACAATTTTACAAATGCTATCTTTGTGGATTTTTATGTATCCTTTCCAAGGTATTAATTAGTAGTGTCTCAAATAGAGAACTTCTGTGTTAATGAGGCAACCATCATGAAGGTTACATTTTAAAAAATAACTTCATTGTTTTTTGTAAAACTTTATTGTAAAAGAATAAAAATTTCAAATAGGTACAAAGAAGAAAGTAAAAATCACCTGAAACCTTACCACTCAGAGCTATTTTTTATTTTATTTTCATGGCTGACAGTGTTACAGAAGGCCTCTTTTTGTTCACATTAACCCCCTCCAACCTGCATACCCTCCCCCAGGCCCTTACCACACTAATGTCTGTGTCCATGGGCTATGTATATATGTATATAAGTTCCCCGGTTAATCTTTCCTCCCCCAACCCCTACCCTTGCCTTCCCTCTGTTCCAAGCTCACTCAGAGCTATCTTTAATATTTTGGTGAACATCTTTCCGGATTATCTCTTTGTATATATGTACATATGTAGAAATACATATGCAATTTTATATAAATAAGATCATACAACACCAGTGTTATTGTTTCTTACATTTTATGTAATACTAGAGGCCCAGTGCGTGAAATTTGTGCACTGTGGTGTGGGGGCAGTCCCTCAGCCTGGATTGCAAGAGGGCGCAGGCCAGGCTAAGGAACCCCACTGGTGCATGATCAGGGCTGGGGAGGGACGCAGGAGGTTGGCCAGTCAGGGAGGGATCGTGGGAGGGCTCCAGGGTGTGTCCAGCTCTTCTCGCTCAGTCCCAATCGGCCGGACCCCAGCAGCAAGCTAACCTACCAATCAGAGCACATCCTAGGCAATCCTATAGTCTTTTAAATTGAACTCCCCAAATTCTTTCCATATTTTAAGAAATTGTTTTGCCTGCTGATGGCATACAATAGCCTCTTTTCTGTTTGGAAAACGCAATTTAACTCTTTTGTGACTTGACAACAAATAGAGGTGTTGCCATACAGAAAATAACCAATAACATTCAAAGGAATATAATGTGGCTAGAAGGCTCTTAGCTAAGGCAGCCAAGGAACTTGGCAAGCTGTGCTACCTTATCTGCTTTGTTTTTCTGACTTTGTCGTTAAATGTGTCAATAAAACGTGCCACCTATCAAATTGTAGCATCCTTGGCAAAGCAGCAGCAGAAAAATGAAACTGCCTATTCCCTATCTTATCAATATATGATAATCTATTCCCATCCCCACCCCCACCAATATATGTGGTGGCAATCCTCTTCAGGATAAAAGTTGTGTGTTTTTTTAGAGAGTTGTCTTACCTCAGCTTTCTTGAAAACTGTCTCTTTATACAAAGCCTGTAGCTTTCTGAAGTTGACAGAGTCTAGCTGTCGAGTTTCTTCCACCAACTTCACCTAATAAAATAATAATAAAACGTGTAACATCAATAGTATGTGCATTATGAAAAAGTGGGGGAAGAATGCACAATTTGCCAGGAAAAGTGGGCTAAAGACCAATACATTTGCCAATAAAGTAAATTAGTTTGGAGGCAAAAGCAGGAAGACCAACATAATGTAAAAAAGCAGCTACAGCAAAGTCAGGCTTTGAATGCATACTATAAAAAATACAAGCATTTTGCTTGGCTGGTGTGGCTCAGTGATTGAGCATCGACCTATGAACCAGGAGGTCACGGTTTTATTCCCGGTCAGGGCACATGCCGGGGCTTGATCCCCAGTAGGGGGCATGCAGAAGCAGCCGACCAATGATTCTCTCTCATTAATGATGTTTCTCTCTCTCTCTCTCCCTTCCTCTCTGAAAAGGCTCTTAGCTAAGGCAGCCAAGGAACTTGGCAACCTGTGCTACCTTATCTGCTTTGTTTTTCTGACTTTGTTGTTAAATGTGTCAATAAAACGTGCCACCTATCAAATTGTAGCATCCTTGGCAAAGCAGCAGCAGAAAAATGAAACTGCCTATTCCCTATCTTATCAATATATGATAATCTATTCCCATCCCCACCCCCACCAATATATGTGGTGGCAATCCTCTTCAGGATAAAAGTTGTGTGTTTTTTTAGAGAGTTGTCTTACCTCAGCTTTCTTGAAAACTGTCTCTTTATACAAAGCCTGTAGCTTTCTGAAGTTGACAGAGTCTAGCTGTCGAGTTTCTTCCACCAACTTCACCTAATAAAATAATAATAAAACGTGTAACATCAATAGTATGTGCATTATGAAAAAGTGGGGGAAGAATGCACAATTTGCCAGGAAAAGTGGGCTAAAGACCAATACATTTGCCAATAAAGTAAATTAGTTTGGAGGCAAAAGCAGGAAGACCAACATAATGTAAAAAAGCAGCTACAGCAAAGTCAGGCTTTGAATGCATACTATAAAAAATACAAGCATTTTGCTTGGCTGGTGTGGCTCAGTGATTGAGCATCGACCTATGAACCAGGAGGTCACGGTTTTATTCCCGGTCAGGGCACATGCCGGGGCTTGATCCCCAGTAGGGGGCATGCAGAAGCAGCCGACCAATGATTCTCTCTCATTAATGATGTTTCTCTCTCTCTCTCTCCCTTCCTCTCTGAAAAAAATTAAAATATATTTTAAAAATTACATGCATTTCTAAGTAATGATATAGTGCAGTGATTTTCAACCAGGGGCTGCAAGAATTTTTAAAACATGCAATACTGACTATTTATTCAGGAGCACTGACCTCTTTTCCCTTAGATTGTCAAATAAAAATATGACAACAGCCAACACAGCAATAGCCTTTAGGCATGAATGCCCTGTCTTGAACCATCTACACTAATAAAAGAGAAACATGGTAATTGGCGTACGACCGCTACCCTTCCCATTGGCTAATCAGCATATCCTTATGCAAATTAACTGTCAGCCAAGATGGCGGCCGGCAGCCAGGCAGCTGGAAGCGAACATGAGGCTTGCTTGCTCCAGTGACTGCAGACTCCAACGTTCCCCACCTGACTTGCCG